CTGGTTTCACGGTTGGACTATACTAGGTTGATTGGATGCTTGATGTATGCTATGGCAAGCACTCGACCGGATACAGCATTCGCCATTCGTTTGAAAAGGGTTTACGGATGCTAGTTGGATCACTAAAAAAGAGGATTATTCTTCTACTAGTGGTTAGGTATTTCTTCTCGGAGGAGGTGCTATTTCATGGGCATCTAAGAAGCAAACATGTATTACGAACTCAACAATTTTGAATTGATTGAATTAACCCCACTATCTATCTAGTACAATACTAGTGATTGAATTAACCCCACCATCTAGTTGGATCACTATATGGGTTTTTCAACAATGTAACAGCTTGAATTGATTTTCTAAATAGATCTTTTTGAAATGTTGCTCATATTGTAAGAGCGTGTGATAAAAGGTCTACCTCAAGTTTGGGTGCTTCACTCTGTTTCGGGCTTAGCTTGGAGTACTAATTTGGATATGGACACAAGACCTTTAATGGTGCCAAAGGAACAATGTATTTTGTATTTAATTTGTGTGTATGACATCTTTAATTTTTCATTATGGTTGTATGATTCAAAGCTTAGTCTATAATTACAATCCGAATTGTTGTTAAGTATGTTATACTAAACAAAAATTCAATCGTTTCGACATTTTTGTAATGCACAAGTTTGAGTGTTTATCATGTTAAGCAAGGTATAAGCTTTAAGCATCTATTATATAAATGGAAGACGATTATTGGAACATTTACGTACTTCCTCCGTGTTTTAATAAGTGTTACACTTTGACCGGCACATAGTTTTAGGCAATTTAATTGACTTAAATAAAATAAGAGGTAAGAGGGGTAGATGGAGTATTAAAAAATTGTAAAAGAAAGATAGTGGGGATAATAGTTTATTGAAAAGTAATGAATGTGGGAGAAAAGAAATAATAAAAAAAAAGTAGCAGGGACCATGGAAGAAGAAAGATATAATAATATTAAAATGTAGTTTATTGGCGGAAAAAAAAAAAAAAAAAAAAAAAAAAAGGAAGTGTAACACTTATTAAAAAAAAGGAAGTGGGATCAAAAGATTACTATTAGGAAAGCGACATTCAGTTACATGCCTAGGAGAACATATCCGGATCACCCCACTCTATTTTTCTAATATGGATGTGGCTAGTGGTGCCACTCCTACTTAGACTATCTATATAAACTTCAAGAAAAAATGGTAGTGTTCAAGCACTCAAAAGGTAATTTTTCTCAACTTTGTTTACAACTCATTTTGAACTATTTTCCAAATTTGTTTTGAAATTTGTTTTTGATTTTTTAAATTAGTGATTTTACTTTAATAATTTTTTAACAAAATGTCCTTTATACTTTTGTGTAATTTTTTTTTTTTTTTTTTTTGGAAACAGAAGAACTGTATAACTTTTTTTTTCAATTTCTAAAGATATTTTATTTACTTTCAATATACAATATTTATTTATTTATTTCGTTATACTTTATATTTCTTATACATTAAGATCCTGGTTTTTATTTTTATTTTTATATTGTGTTTTAAGAATTTGTTTTCAAAATTTATTTTTTAATGATTTTGAATTCAATAATTTTTAAGCAAATTGTGCTTTCGAATTTCGTCTTGATATTTGTAAAGATCTGTATAGTTTTAGTTTTCTTTTTCAATGTTTAAAGTCAGTTTTTTCTTTTTTTTTTAAATGGTTCGTTTTTGGCTTGCTTCAATGATAAGGGGAAGGGGAGAGGTGAGGAGGGCCCCCTTCAAGCAGACTACTTTACTAGCTTGAATTTTTGTCCGTAATAATATGACCTCTGTCTCATCCGCCCAAAAAATATAACTATTTAACAGGTTACTGTCACTAGTGACCATTACAAACGGATTGGCATTAAAGGTCAGATTATTTTAATTATAAAAGGTTTTTTTTACTTCAACTTTTCTATTGGTTTTTGTTTTAGAAATTTTTTTAATATTTTTTTGTTAAATTTTCAAATTAGATCCACTAAACTAAGTTTTTGGATTTGGATAATTTTTAATTTAAGTTTTAAAACTTATAGTTTTTTTCTTTAATGTTATTTTGATTGTATTTTTTTTTTTAATTAGAACATAACCTGACTTTTGTTTATAAGTTGATAAATTTCGTACTTGACTTTGGTTTTTTTTTTTTTTTTCAATTTTTGAGTCATTGGTTTGAATTTTTTTTTTAAATCTTTTTCTAAATTTTACATTTTACTCTACAAGATATTTGACTTTGATATAATCAATTTTGATTTTTTTTTTCTTTCTATCTTTTCATATTTCTGTTTCTTTTAAGTATTGTTGATTTAATATTTTTTAAATTTGTGTGATTTGTAGGTGAAAATTCATTATTGAACAATACATTGATTGATAGCTATATCAATTTTGCGAGATGAAATGTAATAATTTCAGAAGTTTTAGATTATTAGTTCCATACAAATGATTTTATATTCTTTTGCATTTTCATAGTGTTTAATTATAAATACTATAATAAAAATTGGAAGTATTAGTGCTTGATTAATGCTTAATAATTTTTTTTAGATGCACAAATAATGCTTAATAATTTCATGTGTCTTTGCAAGAGTCAGACATTTATTAACTATAAAGCGTTATATTTCAAAAAATAAATAAATAAAAAAAAAAGTATAAATTATTCTTGGCGATCGATAAACACACATATTTTGGGTGTTTTTATTTAATTAAGAACTTCAACAACTGCACCATTTAATTGCATCCATATATATATAGGTTAATATTTTTCATTACATGCTTTGTTAAGCCTATACCAGTAGATAGTTTGCTTGATGTAATATGTATCTCTACAAATGATATGATGTAATACAACTTTTAATTAAGAATAATGCAATAAATTTTAAGTAGTATTTCATTTACAACTGCAATGCAATTTATATTTACATATAATTTGATTTATATTTAACGTAAGAACAATTCAAATATACAATAAAAGAATTCTTTAATTAAAAAAATCAAACATTTAACTAACAAGTTTAACCCCTGCATTGCACGGGCTAAATACCAATTTTAATATCATAAGTGGAGGGTATCCGACTTTCTCCTAAAAAAACGAAAACAAAAAGAAATTTGGATAATTCTCAACATGAAAATACCCCAAAAAGCAATAAATGGAGGCAAGTTTGAAAATTCCCCCAAAAAGAAAAAAGAAAATAAAAGGAAAATTTTGAAAATTCCCTAAAAAATAAAATAAATAAAAGGAAAACTTTAAAATTCCAAAAGAAGAAAAAGAATATAAAGGGAAATTTTGATGAGACAACTTTCCTCACAAAAAAATAAAAGTAAAAAATAAAAAAAATAAAAAAAAAGAAGAGGAAGATTAAATTCTTCCTCAAAAATTAAAAGAAAGAAAAAAGGGAATAAGTAAAATAATAAAGGTTTCCTTAAGAAAATCAATAAGGAAAATAAGAAGATGGAAAAAGAAAGAGAAGAAAAAAAAAGAGGGAAAATTGAGCCAAGATACAGAGACAATTTATCACGCCATGTCATGATTGGAACGACACGCAAAATATTGCCGCATCGCGGCAAATCTAGGATTAGGTTTGAAATACACACCTCTAATTCTATATTCCTATTATCCTTTGTATTCTGGATCTTGGATCTAGGATTGAATTTGGAATACACACCTCTAGCTCCGTGTAAAGAGGTCATGGTGTCTTTATTCAATGCACAACTAAGGAGAGATTACAAACACTCTTAGCTTTCTAGATTAAAGTTCTAGGGAGGTGTGGGCGTTGTGAGGGTCCCTAATAATTATTGGTAGTTCATAGTTTTTCCCCTACTAGTTTAGGAGGGATTTTCCACGTAAAATATTGTTTATCATTGTCTTTGCATACCTCTAATTCGTTCATTTAAATTTTGTTTATTGTTTGTATTTTTGCTTCTACTATTCTCAATAGAAACAGCCAATGGAGTCTTTTCCATGAGGAATATTTAGTCTGGATGAGTCATTCCTAGTGTTGTATCGATCATAAGATGTTGAATGTGCATGACCTAAAACCAATCAGAAGCTTCTTCCAGGAAATACCATCAAAGGTATTCACTCAGATTTCTTGTTTGTTTTTGGTGAAGAATCTTGTCTCAAATGTAAGATTTTGGGTAACGTGGAGAGTAAAGAATTTGACATTAATCTATGCCTTAGTGTTGGAATTTTTTAGTGTCTAACTTTATTCCTCAACTCAAAAGTTCAATCAGCATCAATTTAAATCTTGATCTTTAAGTTCATAATCCTAAATTTTAGCGGTAATGACGAGCGGGAAGGTGAAAGAGAATAGGAAATGGAAGAGAAGATGGGAAGAGAAAGAATAAAGACTGAATATAGTGGTAATTGAGGCCAGCATAACTGGTGATTGATGATCAGCAATGAAAGAAGTAGGGAGGAAAGGGAAGGTTCTCTGGATCAATATTGTAAGGCAATGGCAGTATGGCACTTAACTGAAATAAATATAAAAACATAAAAAGAGGGCAAATGCGGATGGAATATTTCCTTCATTTAAATTCCTTTATCCACACTCTTTTTCTCCCATATGTTCAATCAAGGGTAAATAAAGGTCATACAATGGTTTAATATGGATTATGGTAGCTTGATATAAATTCTTTCATTGACACTACTATACGACAAGAAGAAATACACAACTGTAACAAATTTTGCTAATTACATCAACGCGGTCATTTTCTCCCTCAAAAGTAAAAACCACTTGAGGATCATATTGAAGTTATAAATTAAGACCACAATAAAAATAAATACTACCTCAGTTTCATATTATTTGCAACGATTAGACAATTTCTACTCACAGTTTATGTCAAATCATTGCAAATAATAAGAAACGGAGGTAGTAAATAAATAAATAAAACACACTCCAAGGCTTCAATGGTAATATCAAAATTGAGTGGAAGAGGAATACAGCAATTCTGATTCACAAAATGTATTCACTCACCAACTTTATAATTATATAAGCTTTACCAACTGACCTTTGAGTAACTATCAGCAAAAGCGCGAGCACGGTTGGGCTTATCTTGAAATTGTAAATCAGCCTTCTCAAATTTCCCATCAACGAAAGTCAATCCTCCATCATTCATTGAAAAACGCAGAAGATTACCTGGACTTAATCCTGACTGAAAAAATTAAATCAATGACTGAATTAAAAAATACTTCCAACATCATTAACAGCAACATATGAGTACAGTAGCACAGAAAAGATACAAGCAAATGATACATCATTTAACATATAAATGACCACACAAAACAAAATTATCTACAAAAAAACTCATTTTGAATCCGTCTAGCCAATAGAACAGAAAGTTTCTGACAGATAATATTAGATTCTCAGACGAATCCATGAATGTTCGCCTTCCTTGCCAACAATGTCTGATGTGTTAGTGATCACGTCACAGCCTCACAGGAATATGCTTGATGTCTTTATCAATTCAAATCATTAGAGACATGTTTTCTCTTTACCTCTGTTTTCCTTTTTATTCATTCAGAGACCATGACTAAGTATCTAATGACACCAATCAGTGATAGAAGTAATAACTAGGTAGTTGTTTGGTATAAGCCTGGCACATATTTTGGAAAAACAAATGTTCGAAATGTCAAACATTGGACCATAGTAAGCAGCAGTGAGGGGTGTTAGGGCTGCTTAATTGGTGATGGAGGCTTCGGTAAACAACAACAACAACAACAAAGCCTTAAATTCAAAATGATTTGGGTCAGCTAACATGAATTGTCTTAAGGAACCGTACAATATAAAGAAAGGGACATAACAAGAAAATCATTTGACAGACTTTGAAAAAAGGTGAGTAAAGTGAGCAAAAGAAAGAGCATCCAAGAAAAATTAAGGGAGTTCTACAAGAGAACCAAAAATAAAATTCAAGAAAGTTTAAAGGAGTTTTAATTGGTGATGGAGGCTTTGGTAAGGAAAAAAAAAAATCTCTTAGTTTAATTTTGCAGGCATTTAGTTCAATTTAGTTGTCCATTCCATTCCCTTTCTACTTTCTCTGTTCCACCTTATTGTGTTTAATTCTCTCCCACAACCACCCCAACCCCTTACCCCAAAAAAAAAAAGAAAAAATATTTTCAATCTTCAATTAATGAGCTCTAACCTTTCCTCTCACAGCTCACCACATTTATTCCTCCATAAGCCCATCACTGCCTGATGCTAAGAACCCATTTTTCCTGCATCCCACTACGACCTTCAGCCGATCCCTCTCACCCACAGTGCCCCACTTTCTAACCCACTATCACTGCCACTGTAGCTAGATTCCATCAAAACACCCACCGAATATGATATTCATACACAGTAGAAAAGGAGGAATGCGAGATATAATGCAAGAGTACTTCATGGTAGCAGCAAGTAAAGACATTGGTGATGATCTAGGTTCAATCCTGCAGGGTTCGAACTTCACCTTAGCCCCCCCCCCCCTCTCTCTCTCCTCCCTTACCCCTCAAAAGGGTTCAAGATCTCTACCACCACTTAAGGCTGACCAACCAAGCCCTCATTCATCATGGTGTGCCTGTTGGCTAACAAAATCATTAAGTTAGTGGTGCTCACCAGACACATAGAAAATGTGAGAGTGAGAGATGAAGTATAAGGGAACCATGGGGTGATGCAAGACGGGCAGCAGTGGTGAATACAGAATGCCTAAAAAATGAAAGTAAGCACCTAACACTGACAGGGGGAAGCAAAGGAGAATGACAACTGAGTAAGGTGGTGCAAAGAGTGTACATGGTGAGCAGCAGAAGCTAAAAAGGAAGAAAGAAGAGGAAGGGACATAACTCATATAACTATTTTTTATTTTATAAACCAACATATAAAAAGGAAGATCAAGTACATTCCCAATTGAAATAAGCATTAATTCAAATTTCCAATTCTAGAATCTTGAATCATTTCCTCTTATCTAGTTTTCTTGATTCCTTGCCCTAACACTAATGTGAATCAAATGGCCTCTTTACAGGTATTTTTGGAATAAAGACATACAAGAAAATGGCAAAGTATTCAACTTCAGGCTAACAATGAATCCTCTCTGATCAACACAAATAGGATTAAAACATCACTCAATTATAATGAAACTCAACATAAAAGCTTTCAACTTTAAGCTAACGATGATAAACAGCACTTTTTCCACACAAGGAGTTATAAAGCATAGCTCAATTATAATGAAATTCATCAATATGAGCTGAAGATTGAGACCTATGGCACTATCTTCAACACTAGACAAGAATAAAAGTGAAAATTCACAAGTACCAAAATGCACAAACCTTTTGTTGAAAGTCCTGGTCTAGACAGCCAAATACAACAGGAGGATCATCCGAAGTAATCACCTTTCCATCATTTTGTAGCTCTAAGACCACCTGTTCATAAAGATAATTGATAAGTTATGAAACACGAGTATTTGAGTTACTTAGTACAGAGGATGGAAACAATTAGCGCCAAAAGATAAGAGGAGCAACTGACTATTGCATCCAACTTCCAATGTTTTCTGGACTAATCCCACTCTTTTTTTATGACTCCCCAAGATTGGGGAAGAATTTATTTAATAATTCATATTCATCCATATTTCCGACCCGCTGTATGCGTCAGAAAACAGCCTTTTGAGTATGTTCCTTTCTAAGATGCAATTGTAATACCTATTTCTCTTAAATGACTTAGCTGATAGCAGTAGCTCGGGTACTGCCTCCAAACAGTTTTTACAACAAAAACAACAACAACAGAAAATGACCAAATAAAAAGTTAAAAAAATTCAAACACTTGCAATTGACTTCCAGGCAAAATCACATCTCATAAATCCTGATACATCAAAAAAATCTCTAAATAACAAATTCAGAAGATAGAGTTAAAATGCCATGGCAGCAAAACAGATCAATGCCATTCAATGGCACTTCTGGAAGCCAAGAATTAATAAGGTGAAAATCTTCATATAATTACCTGTTGTTTGCTTGGCACTTCGCCTTTATTATCTGTATCAATAACATATTGGCTACATTTTTCATCCTTCCAGACTAACGTCAGTGGTGTATTTCCTGGTTGATAGTGTGCATGCCTAAGAAAGGCAGAAGTACCACAGAACTAGGTTACTGGGAGATCCTAATAGGTAAAAATATGCAGTCAAACAAATGGAAATTTGAAGGCCATTAAAGCAAACAATTCCAGCAAAAAGGTAGTAGAGCCTTACTTGTTATAGAATAAGAGACCATCTTTTACATAAGGTACTTGTCCGGCATATGCTGAGAGCAGTCCGCTATGGTCACAGCTGTATACAGGAACTGGACTAAACCGATACCTATGATATTGTGAAGGTGGTCCACAAGCATCACTTTCGGCAAGCTTGGAATTCAACCAAAAAAACCTAAACTCCGCATTACAATCGTAAAGAGAGTATCCTCCCCAGCATAACATGTCGATCACATAGTAAGTCTGGTCTACCTGTATTCACATTCATCAGATAAGAGAACAAACATACGCTCAGAATCACAAACATGAATATTAATAATGACAACCTCACCTCATGGAATATGCAATCAAGTATACAATACGACTGGCCAGATCCAGAATTCCCTCTCGTTCTGGCTCCACAAGGTAGAGCAGATGGAAAATGATGCAACACTATGCCATTACGTTGTCTACTAATTGTTGTCCCATTGGTGGAAACTATAAAGCATCGCTTCCCAGCCGGCCTAGCTAATACAAACCTGCAAAAATATATATCCAAGACATGATTAAAAAATTACCAAACAATCACCCATAAAAAAAACATATGGTTGTGATATCTAGTCTAAACAATCTAATAGATATTATATTGGATATAGTGAAGCCGTGCTCATATGAATAAGTTTGAAAAATCAAACTATTAATTTTTTGAGGGAAAGATGAGCTTACAAATTATTAATTCAATACAATTTCTGCTAAAGCCAACTTTGAAGAATTATATTCAAATAAACCAACTCCATACAACCATGAGTATCCCATCTCACGACCAGGCTATTCTTTCCCTACCATACAAGGAGGACTAACAAAACATTTCTGCCTACTCTTTCCTAACCTCCTTAACATTTCCTAAGTAGTAAAGTTTAAAAATTCAAAACTATAAACAAAAAAATAATATAGATTTCAATCATTTCATCATTCCACGCATTAAACCCTTATAAAACCACTCCACTACCACGACAAAATGGGCGCGACTAAACCCTTATAAACTCCTCCGCAACAAGAGGTGTTCAAAAAATCCCGACCCACAAAACATTCCACTACTAAACCCTCAATTCTTACAAAAATCCACATTAAACCCATCACACAATCATTCAATCCATGTAAACCAAACAATACCCATCAACAGAATCTAACTAAAACCATAGAAACATTTCACCCACTAAACAAAATTCAATAAACAAAGCAAAAAAAAACTCGAACCAGTCTTGAGAAAGGCGATCAGGGACATCAATCATCCACTCAGGAAGCATCAACTGACGAGCAAACCAACGCCGAGATTCTTGACCACGAAGCTTAGAGGCTTGTCGAACATCCTTTAAATTTTCAAGCTGAGGAGCATTCGGATAATCCTCCTGTTCTTCGGGTTCAGTATCGATATCGAAAGCGTTGTCGTCGTCGACGGCGGAGGAAGTGGAGGGGGTTGGTTCATTGAAAGAGAAAAGGGTGGAAGCGAGGCGGCGAGCATGGGATTGAGCGTCAACGCGGCTTTGTTGCTGGCGGAGAAGAGAGAGTTCTCTTCTCTTTTGTTGGTCGGAGATTGCTGGGCGTTTGTATGCTCGCCGGATTTCATGCGTCGGCATTGTGTTGCTACTACTGGGTTCGGTTTGGGAGATTTGGTAGGAATTTGGAACTCAAATTTTCAAATACAGTTTCCTGGATTTTGAAAGGAAAATACAAGTTTTTGATATATTAAAAAAAAAAATGATATATATGTATATATATATTATATATTCCTTAAAAAAAAATTAGAAAAATTTGTTAGTAGAAAAAGATCTTTTAAAGCAACCCATTTTGTTTAAAAAAAACACTTTAAAAAATTTCTTAGCCATGTGAAATTTGTTTATAAATTTTTTTTGCTGAAGACAAGTAGGTCTCGCTTTTCGGCATTCACTCGTCATTTTCCGGCGTTGACCTATCATGTGCATGTCACATGACTTTTTGTTACAATCTCACCCCTTTTTTAAATATAGTTCTCTCTCTCTCATTTTGTATGTGAACTTGGCCGTTGTGAAAGTTCATTTAATTCGAAGAAGGTAAAGCAATTGAAGACTTTCCCAATCAAATTCGGCCAAGGCAATTGCTTTAGTAATGTTTAATTTATCACTCTTTCATGGTTTCGAAAGTTTTCAAAATTTAGGGTTTGTTGCCCGCTTATTAAAATTTACGCTAATTACACTCCCTTATATGAATTATACAGCTACTATGGTTCGAGGCAATGAATTATACAACGCTAATTACAATGCCTTATATGAATTATACAACAACTATGGTCGAGACAATGATTTGAGGTGTGGATGATGGAGCAGCCATGGCAGAGAAGGTTGTAGAGATTACTAGTCTCAATTCAGTTCACAATGAGAGAGATGGGAAAAGAGAGAGGGGGGTTTAATTAGAGATGAGATGATGTAATTAGAAAAGAGGGGTGGGAATTGAATAGTAAATATAAGGTCACATGACATGCACATGATAGGTCAACGCCGAAAATGACAAGTCATCGTCGAAAAGTGGGGCTTGGTTGTCTTCAACAAAAAAAAAATATTATAAACAGGTTTTTATATTGCCAAGAAATTTTTAAAAGGTTTTTCAAGACAAAAAAGTTGCTTTAAAAGGTTTTTTTTGTGACAAATTTTCCAAAAAAATCAATCTTGCATTTTGGTAAATAAATCAATAATCTATAACTAATACTTAAGTAATTACCGTTAACATCATCACTATCCACGTGGCAACTTCTTATAAAAAAATTTCCCTCCAAAACTATTATTGACATTATTCTTTTTTTTTTTCTTTTTCAAGGTAAAACTAATGCTTGGAAATGATTGATTAATTATATATTTTTCTAAAAGTTTTTGTAACTGAATTTACTAAATAAACAATTTCTATTCTTGTGGAGTAAAAATAATTGACGGTTGGTCTCTTTCACATTTTTTTTCCTCCTACATAGATCATTTTTAAAAACACTCTCCTGTATTTTATTAATGATTGTAGAGTTTGGTTTTTCTACTCTTTATTAATGGGGAAATTCTACATGGTGGCCTTAAGGTTTCAATTTTTCTATGTGGAAGACGAACTTTTTTCCAACTCTCTTAAGTGGCACCCAAGTTTTGAAAAATTAAGCATAGTGGTCTTTTTTAGGTTTAATGGCTAACTTTTTTATTTTTTTGGTTAACCATAATTAATATTTTTAAAATAAAAAAAATCAAAAAAGTAAAACCACCACTCAGCCACCCACCTAGTCACCCGCCGAACCCCACTACCGTCTGTCGCTGGCGCTCCTAGATGCCTTCCCCCGGCGCCACCTCGACCTCCTTCCCTTCCCCTTTCCTAACCAACGTAACCCCATCCTTGTAACCCGACCCTAACCAGGCAGATCCCGTAACCCAACGTCCCAACCTCCACCCTTCGATTACCCCAAAAATTTGCAGGAAAAGTTCGCTCGCCCCTTCCCCACACCTCGAAAAGGTCGACGCTAGGGTTTCGTGGGGGGGGGGAGGGGCAGCCGAACTTTTCCGGCTCTTTTAGGGGTTTTCAATTGGTGGGGGTTGGGGTTACCAGATTGGTTAGGAAAGGGGAAGAGAGAAAGGTCGGGGTGGAGCCGACACAGAGGGATGGGGTTCTGGCGCGCCGGCGCTGGAGGAGGGGGGTTAGGGCGCGCCGGTATCGGGGATAGTGGGTACGGCAGGTGCCAACTACCGTGGATGGCTGGCTGGTCGTTTTTTATTTTTTAATGTTTTAAATTTTTTTTTTAATTACTTATGGTTAACCAAAAACTAAAAAAAGTTAGCCAAAAAATCAAAAAATGGGCACTATGCTTTTTTTTTTTTTTCTTTTTCAAGGTAAAGCTAATGTTTGGAAATGATTGATTAATTATATATTTTTCTAAAACTTTTTATGACTAAATTTACGAAATAAACAATTTCCATTCTTATGCAGTAAAAATAATTGACGGTTGGTCTTTTTCACATTTTTTTTCCTCCTACATAGATCATTTTTAAAAACACTCTCCTGTATTTTATTAATGATTTTAGAGTTTGGATTTTCTACTCTTTATTAATTCTTTAAATTTTCTATAATGAATCAAATATGAATGCTAAATTTTTTTAAATTTTATTACAGCTATGACATTAATTAGAATATTTAACATCATGTCCTTCATTTTAGCTCAATTAATCTGACGATAGTAAAAATTTTATTATTAAAACCATGCATCGCACGGGACTAATCTAGTTCTATTGTGGGCTGATAAATGTTGATTATTTATTAAAAATATTCGCCAATACCCAGCCTCCCCTTTTCGCACCAGCGCCCAACCCCCTCCATATCCCCCACCCTACACCACACCCTCCTTTTCTCCCACCTCGACATCCACCCCCTTCCCAAAACCAGCCCCCCTCTCTTCCCCACCGCGAAACGCCTCCTCCCTTTCCCTCCACCCCGAAACAGCCCCCCCAACCCTAACCCACCTCGAAACTGCCCTAAACCAGGTGGGCTATTTTCGAATGGAGGATTTCGGCAACTGGTGACGGACAATACATGGGGAGGAAGCAGGGGCGAAACTAGGATTCTGATTAGGGGATTTAATCCCGCCACATGGTCCAATGAAACTCTGCCACGTACCATCCACGTGGACCAACTAGAGTCCGCCACGTGTCACTCCGTAAAGAGTCCAAACTGGACCACTCAGAGCACGACACATGGCAGACAGATTGCCAACTGGGAGAGGCTGCCTTAAAGGCCCAAACTCCTAGTTAAGCCTAGTCGGTCCTAGGTTTCTGTAACCTAGTACTGGGCACGCACTTCGAGACCCTATAAAAGGGAGATGTTCCCCCTTGGGAACACACATTCAGAAATTCACAAACACAACAAATACACCAAACTGAGCAATCATTAATTGTAGATACTCTCTTGGAATCCGAGAGAGACTTTATTACTTTCCAAACTTTACATCTTTGAATACGTTCTAACTTGATCGTCGGAGGCGGAACTCCACCCAACCAGAGTCTTTGTTGTTTTGCAGGTACAAGCGTCCAGAGACAAGTCTTGGAATTGTAACTCTCCCGCAGGACATCCAAAAAACCCCAAAACATTTGGCGCTGTCTGTGGGGAGAGTACTTTTGAGATGGCTTCACAATCTGTACCGCCTCCTAATGAGAAACGGCTGATGGCTGACACACGGGTCTACACAGACCAAGATACAGATGATGACTATGAAGTCGATACATACGTGGTCCCTGATGGGTCACTAAGAACTAGGCGCGTCCGTCCCGCCGAAAGAAGGGAACGGGGCGACGAACAGGCGGGTCCAAGCGAACCAGCCAACCAGCCGACAGGTCAACCCCAGGTGGCCGAAGGCTCCACCCCTATCACCAGAAACGAGCTCACGAGTCCCATGACAATTTTCAAAGGGAGATCTAGGACCTGATCGATAAACGGACGGCTGTCTCCACCAAGGAACATTCGGCCAGGAAGCCCTCCCAGTCTAGGAGGAACAAGCTGGTCAAGGACCGAGAAGCTACTCCTTACCCTAACCTAGGGAGAGACAGTCGCCCTTGATCGACTTAACCAAATTCCGATTCCCTGAGCTAGGGAAGAGGAAGGTCATCCGGCATGTTTAGTCGGATGGTTCAAAGAAAACTTATCATGATGCCCAGATGTTAATCCAGCAGAAGAAGAACATACAACTGTCAGAGTCGGCTTCAACGTCGAAGTTACAAGATAGATTTTTGAATGCCTCAATGAGGTATTCTCAATCAAACCGAGAGAACCAGACAGGCGGCATGTCCGCCCACTCTGGTCCTCATATGCTCCATGCGGCCCCGTATGCGCCTCAACAACCATACATGCCGTATGGACAACCCTCCATGTAGCCTACTCTCTTCGGAGGTCAGGTGGCACAAAACGTCCAACCTTTGGACTGGCAGCTCCGACTGCTAAGACTTGGAGAACAACCTTCTGCGTTCTCCAAGGAAATAACTGAGGCCGCATAGCCGGCTAAGGTGAAAAATGTGTTGGTAGGTACCTATGATGGTACCACCAATCTAGAAGATCACCTTATGGCATACACCAACCTTATGTATCTACAAGGGTTGGATGATTCCGCATGGTGTCTATTCTTCCCGGCCACATTGAAGGGCGTCGCGCAACAATGGTTCGGCAACCCGCCAGCCGGATGCATCAATAACTTTAAGACGCTTGCATACTTGTTTGCGTCTAACTTCTCAATGAACATCCCTGTGAAGAAAAGAAGTCTTGACTTGGGAGCTATACAGCAAGGAGACAGAGAAGGGCTACGGTCATACATCAGGCGGTTCAATCTGATGAGAATTCAGATTCAAGGACTGTCTGATGAGGTGGCTTATACAGACTTTTTCAAAGGTCTGAAAGACGGTTCGACCTTTAAGTTCGACCTCGTTAGGAAGAGGGTTGCTACCCTCCAAGAAACACTAATGGGGGCGGACACCTATATACAGGCGACCGAACTCTGCAACATCAGTAAACAGTCGGACTCAAAGAAGTCTGACAAGAGAGAGAGTCAATCTTCACAGCCGACTAAGAAAGAAGAAAAGAAAAGAAAAGAAGTCTAGGTGGTTGATACTTCTGAACAGCCGTCCTAGAAGAAAAAGAAAGAAACTAAATAGTACTCCCCAAAGTACGAGTTCAATAAAGATTGTTACTCCATCCTCATGG